CGCCACACACAATGTATCGAAATCCTATCTCGTTGAGAGCAATAGTTAGTGCAGTCCGGGAAACATTAATTGTATCTTTAATTTCCTCCCGAATTCTACTACAAGTAAGGGGTACCTTCTGCTCATAAAGATTGTACATTATACAGCTAATCCCCCTGTATCAAATCTGTCTAATATTCTTTTACGTCCCGGTTTTGTTTTTGAGACCATCCCTATACCTTTTTTGTTTTATTTATCATACCGTAGACTTGAAAGGTATGAATTGAAAACCCCATAGCTTGGACAATTTGGTAATTCACCCAATCTTAACTAATAAATGGTTTCCCTCCATCTCTCTAAAGTGTAAAGAACTTGTATACATTTCCCAGTACAGACTCCATATCGTGTACCATGGCTATGGCCATGCGAGTGTAATGTAACATGCATCATAGGAGCAGTGTTGACAAAACAAATGCAGCGCCATTTTGTCATTTTAGAAGTTTCACATCTAGAATTTTCTCAAAATGATTTTTGTTTGTGGATTAGATGTTTTATGAAGACTACATTATTATCATTATGACGGAGTCACGTTGGCATATTTCTATAGTCCGTTTTAGACTGCCATCATTGGACATTGAATAAATGTGAACTTACTGTTTTTGTTCGAATTTTTCTCCTGTAAAATTGTCGATAGGACTCCTTGTGACTGAAATACTTCAAACCACAGGTAGGTCGATCAATATTTCAATAGCAACAGTCTTTGAAAAATTCTATCCTTTATTAATGGGCAAAAGAATTTTCTAGCTTTCCCGATAGTAGTTTAGCACCAAGGATATTCATTTTGTTATCAACCCGTGAAGATCCAGGGTAGAATAGGTCTTCAGCAACCCATGCTTGCCATAAAAGGCGACTATGCTTGTCGTAAGAGGCGACTAACAGGATCGGGTGGTCAGGCTCGCTGACTTGGTTGATGCATATCATCGATCCCAAATATTGCTAAAAGCTGCGTAAAACCATACTCACTCACTCACTAAATCACTCATTCACAAGCTAAATGTGTCATCAGAGAACGATTGGTACAGAACAAACGTAGTTCAAATGTCGATAAAACTAAAACATTTTTGAAAAGTTATAAGGCAATCATATACATGTCTTTATTCTACACTGCTGTGTTATCTGTAAAATAAACTTGTAATGTACACAAGAAAATATGGACTCGGATGAACATTTTGGGGGGGGAGTTTATAAAAATGACATGCAGACAGGTGTAGAAGTTGGTCAAGAGGCCCTAAATACAACGAATACGGTACATGGATTGTATTATTATTAATCTCTATTGATCAGGAGTATGTCACATCACTGACATAGGTAGGTCACCATGACCCAGTCATCTGGTCATTCTGGTAGGACCCTAGACTTACACAAGTCTCTAAGGAAATAATTATTAATTTATGTCATAGTTTCTAGATTATGTAAATAATAAGAACATGTTGTCCCTATAAGAGACTGGAGTCCTTACTGTCCACACATCTAGACTTGCCTATTAGGAGGATAGAAGTACTACACATCCATGGACCTTTCTTTCAGTACAGCCTTGGAGCAAGGCTTGTCTGACCCAACTTATGTGAACGTTCAGTTGAAGTCTACACACTGTATACACAGCTCAAGAATCAGCAAACACTGCTGAAGGTGTGACATTGTCCTCGTGAGGACACTGAGGTATTAATCCCTGCTTGCTTCCTAGTAGCTGTAGGGGGCACGGGTGGCCCAGTCGCCTAAGGCGCCGCGATTCGCTGTGCAGAGTTGCGTCTCTTGGGCACGCCAGAAACCTATGATTGTGGGTTCAAATCCCGGTTCGCCCCAATTATGTTTCTAGGTTTGTCAGCACCATACCCGTGCTCGTGGGTTTCACCGAAGTGGTAAACGTCTAAAAACCTGCATCACTTCAGGCTTTCCTCCCACATTAAGCTGACACGCTGCGATATGACTGGAATACTGTTAAAAGCGGCGTTAAGCCAAACTCACTCACTCACTCACTCACTCACTCCTAGTAGCTGTATGCATCTCATGAGGGAATAGGTTCTCAATCGTGTTCCGAACATATTCATCACATTTGAAGTGGATATTTTTAGGATGGTTGGTGAATAATTTGTGCTTGTTTTGAACAAGTCTGCAGGGTTTTAGTGGATGCAAAATATTGTTTCCTGTAACCAAGCAAATAATTTACATTCTAAGTCCCATGGGGTGCGAAAAGGATTGACGGCTTTAATCCAATAAGGGGTGGGAGGGTGGTCTAGAGGTTGAAGCGTTGGCCCATCACTCAAAATGCCCTGGTTTGATTCCCTACATGGGTGTCTACCTGCTGTGATATTGCTGGAATATTGCTAAAAGAGACAGAAAACCATACTCACTCACTCACTCACTCACTCACTCACTCACTCACTCACTCACTCACTCACTCACTCGACCGCCTCCGTGGTCTAATGGAAGAGCGTCCGCCCGGAGAGCAGAAGGTCCAGGGTTCGATCCCCAGCCACGTCATACCAATAGACGTAAAAAAGATGGTACTTGTTGTTACCCTGTCTGGCGCTCGCCATTAAGTGGCTAAAACAAGGACTGGTCAGCTCGGAGTCAGTATACTGTGTCTGAGTGGGGTATTCATGTTAAACTGCGGCATGGTATCTCAGTGAGCTAGCACTATAAATCGGCATCAGTCCGGACTAGTACAAGCAGCCACACAAACACACACACGTACATGCACATCGTTATATAAGTGCAATAATCTTGGACACGACGTTAAACCCCATTTCACATCTTCTCATCTCACCTCACCACTCACTCACTCACTCACTCACTCACTCACTCACTCACTCACTCACTCTTTTCGATCAAATAAAACTAATTAAACTTGTTGATTTCATCTTGCATGTGCCTGACATTGCTATTCTGGTAAGAAATGCACAAAAAGTTCAGTGTAAGTGGTTTATTTTTACAACCAAGATTATACGACTGATTATGCAATATAACATTACAACGAAAATCCCTATCTTTAAACCATTATGATGACATCACATTATTGTTCTTGCAGTTGATTCAAAGCCAAGAATTCACTGGCCATTCTGAACTTGCCGTGATATACTGTAAAACCCAATTCACTCATTCACTCTTGGAAATCAAGTGAAGTTTGCCATATTGCACCAGCCAAGGACCACCATGTACCTGTCTTGGAATCCCATGGCTTGTCTCCCACATCCTAGTGAATAAATTAAATAACGAATCCAACCAAAGACGTATATACGTATACATCTTTGATCCAACTCAAGTCTAGAATGATTTGGCAAATCTAGATTGCCTCAGCTCTGAAATTAAGCATTGTTCTGGGCTCCATTTCGGTTTTATTTTGTATTTCATAGATATATATTTTTAGATATGAAAACTTTACTTCTGGGACTAAATGTTGGTCTACCCTGGACTGAAAATGGACTAGCCCTGAGTGCAGTCTCCCAGAAGGGGCACTAAATGTTGGTCTTCCCTGGACTGAAAATGGACTAGCCCTGAGTGCAGTCTCCCAGAAGGGGCACTAAATGTTGGTCTTCCCTGGACTGAAAATGGACTAGCCCTGAGTGCAGTCTCCCAGCAGGGGGACTAAATGTTGGTCTACCCTGGACTATAAAATGGTCTAGCCCTGAGTGCAGTCTCCCAGCAGGGGCACTAAATGTTGGTCTACCCTGGACTGAAAATGGACTAGCCCTGAGTGCAGTCTCCCAGCAGGGGTACTAAATGTTGGTCTACCCTGGACTGAAAATAGACTAGCCCTGAGTGCAGTCTCCCAGCAGGGGGACTAAATGTTGGTCTACCCTGGACTGAAAATGGACATGCCCTGAGTGCAGTCTCCCAGCAGGGGTACTAAATGTTGGTCTACCCTGGACTGAAAATGGACATGCCCTGAGTGCAGTCTCCCAGCAGGGGGACTAAATGTTGGTCTACCCTGGACTGAAAATGGACTAGCCCTGAGTGCAGTCTCCCAGCAGGGGCACTAAATGTTGGTCTTCCCTGGACTGAAAATGGACTAGCCCTGAGTGCAGTCTCCCAGCAGGGGCACTAAATGTTGGTCTACCCTGGACTATAAAATGGACTAGCCCTGAGTGCAGTCACCCAGCCACACACACACTGGAAGGGCTGAAGACAACTGTGTTGTTATAATGGCTTATTATTGATTTGTCTGGTGGTGTATTCAGCAATGACACTACCGATGATCATCAAGGACATATGTTGTATGCAACATAAACTTTATTGATGAAAGCTCAATACAATATTAACTGCAATTTGTCAAGGCCATATCAAATGTAGAGCAAATGTTTGTAAAAGTTTCCATTGTGGAATTAAAAATTTCCCACACAGCTTTGTTTAGTGGTAGTGAGAACTAAGATTGGATTTGAATGAGATTGAAATTTCCCGATAAATGTTATTACCAGTTGTGACTTTTATTTCAGTGACAACAGAACCATTTAAAAACTATTAAATATAAACACTAACTGTATTGGACATGTTCAACGCAAAATTTGAACACAGAGATCCCGAAATTTGGGCAGAATGACACCCCTTTTCCGATTTGTTACTCCGAAATTCCAGATGAATTATATTTTTTCCTGAAATATAAATCTTTTCACTGAATGAAACAACATTATATTCAAGAACTAGTTTCAGTTAACAGCGTTAGAAATTGGCACTAGTCCTTTAGTCCTTGTCGAACTGCCCAATAGTTAAGGTATCATAACGCCTAGTATAAATTTGCCATTTTGAAGGATTTTGCTATATGTTATCATTATAAGGACTAGTGGACTATAAATGTTAGTTTCTACCCCTGGTTGGGTCAACTTTATTTATGTCATTATTTAGACATGAAAAGAAATTATCAAGGTACTGTAATCCCATCCCAGTAATCTTTTGAGCTGGAACCATCACCAGTTTTTAATCTGTTGAGGGAGACCGTCACTGATACTCTGTTGTTGTTGTTGCAGGTGACTAGGACCTCCCACAATGGGCTGCAGCTTCTCTCGTAGTCGTAGCGGAGATCTGAATTCACGAGTGTTCCGTGTGTACAACGTTGACGACCAAGGGCAAGAACTGAACCCTGGGAAGATTGAGGTCAGCGACACCGAACTCATCCTCATCCAGAAAGGCAAGGAAGCCATCCGATGGCCACTACGATGTTTAAGGAGATATGGTTTCGATGCGGAGTTGTTTTCCTTCGAGAGCGGAAGACGATGTCCCACGGGTGCTGGTATTTACGCCTTCAAGTGTCGTAACGCCGAGGCCTTGTTTAACACGGTGCAGGACTGCATCCAGCGCGCCGGCCAGGAGGACAGCAGTAGAGTCAGTCACAACATCCTGCCTCCATCTAGTCGACCCAACAGCCGGCCGCAGAGCTTGGTGGACACGCCAACAGACAACTATGGAATCTTCATGACCAACAGGACCGACTCCGTCACCAGCAACGGTAGTGCCCACCACTACATCAACGGCACCATTAACAATGACTTGCACGAGTACATCAACACGGGGAGCACGGCAACTCGGCCAGGGTGTACCACCATTGACAGTGCAGCAGCCTTGATGGACCTGCTTCACAATGGTCCCCTCCCCCCGGCGGAGCCCGACCACCCACAAGTGACATATGCGGTGCTGGACCTTGAGAGTACCGAGAACCTGGCGGAAAATCTGGTTGAAGAAGGGGATGTGATTCGGAGAGACAGTGGTGCGGGGGACTCGCGACACAGTCTCAGTATTGGAGGGGCAGGAGCTGTCGGTGTGGATGATATTGGAGTTGTCTCCCCTGATGGTGATGAGGAAGGGGGTGCTGCGTGTCCCACGTATGTGAACGTTTTGGCTGAATGCCCACAGACAGTTCGCGAGAAGCCCATTCCTAATGGAGCCGCTGTCAAACAGCAGTCAGAACCTAATTATGCAAATTTGGACCTGGGAGAAAATTCCCCTCCTCCCAGGACCCGGCATAAAGAAATTTTGAAAGTGAACTACATAACCCTGGATCTGAAGAACCAGCCCATGGAGAACGGAACCAACGGAGCTAGTGCTTCGCCAACGTCACCCACCAGTTTCGGGTCCTTCCCAGAATCCCCATGTCGTAAAACGGATAGTTACGCAATGATTGACTTCAATAAAACTGCAGCTTTGCTCATTGCTGCCAAAAATGTGGACGATAGCCGGGGTGGCTCGGGCGGAAGGAAGACGCGACACAACAGTGTCATAACAGACATGCCGTAACCTTGCTCAGTCGCCCCATGTGCCATACCACACCCACATCTGGAGGAGACTAGGGGAGAGTTGTTCGCTTGGGATGTACAATACCTACAGTACACTTGGTACGACAGTATTTTGATATGTTCCTCGGTGGATTTTCTGTGTATGTTGTTGACAAACATTTGTCAGTTGAGTCTCGTCCCCTGGCGCCCATGACGAGCACCTCTGTTGTCCCTCCAGTGTACGTGGTGGTTTAGTATTTATGACGTGTCTTTAGTACCTGTGGTTATTGTGGGTATACCCTGGCCTTAGTATTTATACACTTCATAATGCATTTAGGCCTTGGCCATAGTATTTAGGTATACTCATTTTGCATTTATTCCCTAGCTATAGAATATATACCCTGGTCATAGTATTTATACTCTGACTATAGTATTGATATTCTGGACATAGTGTATATACCTTGGTCATAGTATTTATACTCTGATTGTAGTATTTATACTCTGACTGTAGTGTTGATACTCTGGACATAGTGTATATACCTTGGTCATAGTATTTATACTCTGATCATAGTATTTATTCTCTAACTATAGTATTGATACTCTTGGCATAGTGTATATACCTTGGTCATAGTATTTATAATCTGATCATAGTATTTATTCTCTAACTATAGTATTGATACTCTTGGCATAGTGTATATACCTTGGTCATAGTATTTATAATCTGATCGTAGTATTTATACTCTGACTATGGTATTGATACTCGGACATAGTGTTTATACCCTGGACATAGTGTTCGTTTTCTGGTCATAGTATTAATACTAGGGCTGGTCATAAGTACAGATCATAGAGATCGATAATCATTAACTAAATATCTATCAGTTATCACTAAATATCGGAGAAGTAAATTTCAGCAAATACACAAAAAAAAGTCTGAATGAAATATTTCACTCCGCTGATGGGTGGTGCACATTTATGCAGGGATTACTTTGATGACATTTAAGATATAACACAAACAGTTTATTTTCCATCTTCAGAAATTGACATTATTGACAATAACAAGTCTGTTTTGGTAAATCTAAACTTCATTACATCAAAATAGTTTATGTAAGATATTATTGATGACACAATTTTCAAATCGATGATCGTTAATATTTCTTCCCATCAATGATAATTCTGATTATCGATCTTGTCCGCCAGCCCTAATTAATACCCTGTTCCTGGTATTTTTGCATTTACTTCTGCCTTTATTCCGCAGTCCTAGTATTTTGACTGATAGTAGGACCGTTATCATCCACTGTCTCTACTACAGCTGTCCTCCTGTAGCAGTGTATGTTACAGTGTCCTGACCTAGCTGTAGTACCAACTATGTATACACAGTAATACGCAGTCTTTACACTCCAGAAAAGCTCCTCCGTATTTACACTCCAAAAGAAGTATTCAGTATTTACACTCCAGAAGTATGGATTATTATTTATACTCTAAATGACGTACGAAGAATGTATGCTCCAGAAGATGTCTAAATGATAGATACTTTTTCTGTAGTATTTATGTTCTGAGTGTATTGTTTGTTTGTTTTGTTTGTTTGTTGTTTACCACTGCACAGAGCAATATTCTAGCGATATGACGATGATCTGTAAATAATCAAGCGATTGACATCATGAGCATCGATCAAAGCAATTGGGATGCAATGACATGCATCAACCAAGTCAGCAAGCCTGACCACCCGATCCGGTTTTATACCCAACCCTTCATGTCGTGTGCCGCATGTCATCGTGTCCCATTTTTTAGATCGATGCTCATGATATCAGTCACTGGATTGTCTGTCTTGGACTCGATTATTTGCAGACAGTTGCATGTAGCTGGAATATTGCTGAGTGTGGCGTTAAGCAAAAAACAAGACATGTTCTGTACCACTCACTAGCAGGCTGTAGTATTCATAGCAATCATACTTTGTGTAGTATATATTGACAATGATACTCGAGCTGGAGTGTAAATATAAGCTACATCAGCAGGCTATGTATCATACATGATTGTGAGTTTGTATCTGTTGGTGTACCCAGGGATGAAAATACACTCTCTTAGTGCTATTCCCCTGACTGCCGAGGATGCACCAGGAGGGTTTAGCTACAGCTTCCATAATGGTAAATACAGCGTCTTTTACTGCCAGAAGGTATCTAATAATATGAGTAACATTTTGAATGGTTTTATGTTTGTAACTCTGGCATTTCATGATCAAGGGAATGTTAAAAATGGCAAGTGTATTTTAACTTCAGCAGATTGATAATGGTTTTATCTTCATGTAACCTTGCCGTGATATGCTGGATGTAGTGCTGTGAGCGATTAGTTGACGCAAACATCCACGTCCTTGCCGTGGTGTCATCTGTCCATATGTGCAATGATTATTCATATTCCCTTCCACAGCATCCCAATGACAAATGTGTCCACATTTTCTTCTCCTCTGTTTCAAATCTCATCTTCTGTGGTCATTGTGGTCATGCTGTGTTATGTGTGGTTTTAGTGAAGAATTTGTTTGTTTTTAGCTGGTACTGTTTATACTGTTTCTGCCATACAGATCAGTGTCTTGTAGTGCCTTGAACAGTGCCATCATAGCCATGGTAACACGCCATGGTAACACGCCATGGTAACATGTCATTCATCATGCAGTACCCAGGGGCCCAAAAGCATTTTAACAGCCGGCAAAAGATAGGTCATATTAGGGCGCCATTCTAACATTGTCATATTACTGCGCCATCTTAACATTGTCATATTAGGGCGCCATCTTAACATTGTCATATTAGCACCATCCTAACAATGTCATATTAGGGGGCAATCCTAACATTGTCATGTTAGGGCGCCATTCTAACATTGTCATATTAGGGCGCCATTCTAACATTGTCATATTAGGCAGTCATTCTAACATTGTCATATTAGGGCGCCATTCTAACATTGTCATATTAGGCCACCATTCTTTAAACATTGACATGTTTGGGTGCCATTCTATCATTGTCAAGTTAGGGCGCCATTCTAGCATCGCCATCAGTGGTCATCACGGGTATAACATTCATTTGTGCTTTCAATCATCACCGTGAGCCAATGTCGTGACTTTCCATCTGTTGTCCAGTGATATCTTCAATAACAGCTTCAGTGTAACTGCATTACATTTGCTTGTGGCTTTCTTTAATTACGTGCTTTGCGGACTAGACTGTCATTCTAAGAGGCACACACATGTACAAATCTCAGCCCTGGGCTAGTCACATTGTCAGACGCCGAGCGGAATGTAGAAGATCTGTGATGGATGACACATCACATCTTCATCCCCATCTGACATAACTGTAAATATAAGCTGCACATCCCTGAACAATGTTAGGACTCTCTGTGTTAAATGGGGGCACGGATGGTCCAGTCGTCTAAGGCGCCCCGATTCGCTGTGCAGGGTTGTGTCCCTTGGGCACGCCAGAAACCTATGATTGTGGGTTTGAATCCCAGTTTGCCCCAATTATGTTTCCAGGTTTGTCAGCACCATACCCGTGCTTGTGGGTTTCACCGAAGTGGTAAACGTCTTTACTTCGGGCTTTCCTCCCACATTAAGCTGACACGCTGTGATATAACTGTAATACTGTTAAAAGCGGCGTTAAACCCAACTCACTCACTCACTCACTCACTCACTCACTCACTCACTCTATGTTAAATATTTCATTTTGCAAAGGAGCTGGACCCTTTCTTCTAATACTGTAGGGTTGATGAACTTGGCTACAATGACAGACGCTACCTTTATCAAGGGCAGATCCAGCATTTTTAATAGTGAGGGGTCCAAAATATCAAAATCCTCTCTCAGTCAATTTTACTAAGGGGGCAGTCGGGTAGCCTAGTGGTTAGAGCATTCGCTTGTCACACCAAAGACCCGGGTTCAATTCCTGACATCGGTACAATGTGTGCAGCCCATTTCTGGTGTCTTCAGGCGTGATATTCCTGGAATATTGCTAAAAGTGGCGAAAAACCATACTCACTCACTCAATTTTCCTATAAATATCAAAATCCTGTAGGCAGTAAAATTGACTGAGAGAGGATTTTGATATTTTGGACCCCCACATACTACATTTAGTTGTCAAAGGGGGGGATCCTGGACCCGACCTCTGGATCCACCTATGCCTTAATGTATGCATCCTCTGGACCATCCTTGATCATCCAGGGAATGAGGCTGCCAGTTGGATAAGTACCCTGGACCCAACAGACACCACAGCTTCGTTTGGGAAGGGATGTCACATCTTCATCTCTCAGGACACTGACTTCACGTGAAGTTCTCTCGCAAATATGATTTGAGTGGATGGCTAATGTTAGCACAATGCCATTCAAATCTGACTCAGAACAAGGCTATGGTAGTGTCTGGTCCGGAGATATAATACACCGGATAATCAAAGATGCCACGCACATTCAAGTAGAATTATGACACATACCAGGTTCTGTGTTTGTACCATTATCTTTGTGATATAGTCTGTACTATGTATGACCTGTGTGTCAATCACTGTTTGAAAATAGCATGAAACTTAAGCAACCTTGTCTGTGCTTTAGTGTTAAAAGTTCAACATTTAAGGGTTCCTTAGATTCGGATACTATAGGAGCAAACATAATTTCAAGGTGGAGGGTGGCCCAGTCATCTAAGGTGCTGCAATTCCCTGTGTAGAGTTGTGTCCCTTGGACCACAAGAAAATATGATTTGTGGGTTCGAACCCTGGTTTGTCCCAATTATGTTTTAAGGTTTGTCAAGCGCCATACCGAGGGTTTCGACGAAGTGGTAAACGTCTGAGACCTCATCACTTCAGGCTTTCCTCCCACATTAAGCACATTAATCACACACCGCGATATAACTGGAATAATGTTAAAAGCGGCGTTAAACAACTCACTCACTCACTCCTGGCTACTCTTGGTAAGTCCTTGGTCGGTCAGGTAGCCTAGTGGTTAAAGCTTTTGCTCGTCACACCGAAGACCCGGGTTCGATTCCCGACATGGGTACAATGTGTGAAACCCATTTCTGGTGTCCCCCGCCGTGACATTGCTGGAATATTGCTAAAAGCGGCATAAAACCAGACTCACTCACTAACTCACTCACTCACTTGGGAAGTCGTGTTCACCATGTTTCTCTCATGCCAATGTGTTCAGATGATAGTCATTTCTCTTCACATTTTAGGCTGTGGAATGTTTTTATGACATTTCTCATCATTTTACTCTTCATTTACAGTGTGTGAACAGCATTTCCTGGCGATCAATAGTTTGGTTTTGTCCAGTTATTTCAGTATGTGTTCATTGAATGTCAAGATTATCTGGAATGGAACAAAAGTTATCTTTCCTTGATTAATTTGACAGGTTGTTTGGATTATATTTATGCTAATGGCTACAAAGAAAAAAGTCCTTTAACCATTTTCCAAAAATATGTACAAATTCTAAAACAGGAAATAATTGTGCCCAGTAAACGTTTATGTCCAAAATTACACTTACAATAACACGAGCCATCCATCCACTGGTTTCCCTTGAACAAATGATAGCATTATTTCCAAATGAAAATGAAACCCTCGGAGGTAGGTGCGTACTATACAAGAAAATACACAATACATAGGGTTTTTTACCTTTAAAAGTAATTTTTGGACATATTTTTTGTCTCTCCTTCCTTTATGTATTTTAGGGGGCATGGGTGGCCCAGTCGTCTAGGGCGCTGCAATTTGCTGTGCAGTGTTGTGTGAAGATTCTGGTTAGAATGGGTCTTCAGCAACCAATGCTTGCCGTGAAAGGCGACTATACATAGTTGGAGGAACTAGGAGTGTGGATGGAGGAATTAGGGAGAGGGGTTGGAGGAACTAGGGAGGGGGTTGGAGGAACTAGGGAGAGAAGTTGGAGGAACTAGGGAGGGGGTTGGAGGAACTAGGGCGAGGGGTTGGAGGAACTAGGGAGGGGGGTTGGAGGAACTAGGGAGAGGGGTTGGAGGAACTAGGGAGAGGGGTTAGAGGAACAAGGGAGAGGGGTTGAGGAACTAGGGAGAGGGGTTGGAGGAACTAGGGAGGGGGTTGGAGGAACTAGAGAGGAGCTGGAGGAACTAGGGAGAGGGGTTGGAGGAACTGGGGAGATAAGTTGGAGGAACTAGGGAGGGGGGTTGGAGGAGCTGGAGGAACTAGGGAGAGGGGTTGGATGAACTAGGGAGAGGGGTTGGAGGAACTGGGGAGAGAAATTGGAGGAACTAGGGAGGGGGGTTGGAGGAACTAGGGAGGGGGTTGGAAGAACTAGGGAGGGGGCTTGGAGGAACTGGGGAGGGGGTTGGAGGAATTAGGGAGAGGGGTTGGAGGAACTAGGCAGAGTGGATGGAGGAACTAGGGAGAGAGGTTGGAGGAACTAGGGAGGGGGGTTGGAGGAACTAGGGAGAGGGGTTGGAGGAACTAGGGAGAGGGGTTAGAGGAACTAGGCAGAGTGGATGGAGGAACTAGGGAGAGGGGTTGGAGGAACTAGAGGAGTTGGAGGAACTAGGGAGAGAGGTTGGAGGAACTAGGGAGGGGGCTTGGAGGAACTAGGGAGAGGGGTTGGAGGAACTAGGGAGAGGGGTTAGAGGAACTAGGCAGAGTGGATGGAGGAACTAGGGAGAGGGGTTGGAGGAACTAGGGAGAGGGGTTGGAGGAATTAGGGAGAGGGGTTAGAGGAACTAGGCAGAGTGGATGGAGGAACTAGGGAGAGAGGTTTGAGGAACTAGGGAGGGGGGTTGGAGGAACTAGGGAGAGGGGTTGGAGGATCTAGGGAGAGGGGTTAGAGGAACTAGGCAGAGTGGATGGAGGAACTAGGGAGAGGGGTTGGAGGAACTAGAGGAGTTGGAGGAACTAGGGAGAGAGGTTGGAGGAACTAGGGAGGGGGCTTGGAGGAACTAGGGAGAGGGGTTGGAGGAACTAGGGAGAGGGGTTAGAGGAACTAGGCAGAGTGGATGGAGGAACTAGGGAGAGGGGTTGGAGGAACTAGGGAGAGGGGTTGGAGGAATTAGGGAGAGGGGTTGGAGGAACTAAGGCATTAGCACCGCATTACTCTATTATCGAGATAGATATGTTCCAAATACTTTCGTTATTCATCCCACACTGTTTAAATTTAATTCATTAATGTCAACATCTAATGTAAAGATAATTAAAAACCTTGCTTTTCACATTTATCATGCCAATAATCTTAGGATATAACCAAACTATGTTCTTTATTTCTTAAATTTGTTCTCTCCATCACGATTTTACTGTGCACAGTTGGAACAAATGTATGCTGAGAATTTGGGCTGTGGCCTACATTCTTACGAAATAAATAACATCTACTCATATATCAGTGGCCAGCAAGTACAGTATTGGACATAATTATGCCTCATGGTATTTCAGCACTTTAGTCGTGGGAATCTTTATATCAAAAGCAGCTATGCAGTTTACCATTAATGTACATGCATGATTATGATAACAACCTAAAACAAACCCAATCATATTCTCCATAGAACATGTAAGATGATGTATTACGGTACAATGAGTACTTTATTGTCTCAATGTGACTTAAGGAGTTTAACACTTTCTTGATAAGGCTAAAAAAAATAAGTCTTAGTTCTCAGGCACCGCCTGCATCATCATAACGTTTGCCACACATTTCATTTTTTTCCGGTTTCAAAAAGCCTTAAATATTCCATGTCTAGGGGTAGTCAAATACTGTATTCCAGTATTTTACTCATCAATGAATACTTTTATATAGGCCTTTTCCAGGTTGATTGTACACAACTGTTTATTTGGTTACATACTAGTTTGAACACACACACACACACACACACACACACACACACACACACACAAAACACACACAAAACACACACAAAACACAAAACACACACACAAAAAAAAAACACACACACACAAAAAAAACACACACACACACAAAGCACCGCCCGCCCTCATTTTATTTTCAAAAGCCGTTGCCTGAGATCTAATTCTTTTATTATTATTTTTAAGCTTAAGGGTACAATTACCAGTATCCAAATGATACATTACAATAATAAAGAAGTTGAAATCCATTAGCATAAGTCAATTCATTGTACTAAAATTACATTAATCTGCACTTAATGTTTACCGGTAACTATTTTATTGTTAAAAGACTTATAACTTGCAGTTAGAATTACATGATTATTGAAAAGATTGCAGTGATGCTGTTGATACTACATCTTCTAAATGCCACTTTTAATGTCACATAAAAAATGTTTTGTTGGTTTTTCCCACTTTTATGTTTTATTTTATTTTATCTCTTTTTTTTTAAAGAAATGAAATAATAATTTTAGTACACTTGTGTATTTCCTGACAAAGCACTGAGGTTCCAGATGAAAATGGTGGCAGTCCCCCTGCATTCTCCCCCCTTAATCTCCCCCCTGCTCTTAGGGGGTACAGAACACCTCCCATACGTCTTTGGCAGGATCAGCTATTTCAGCACCGAGTGCCCATGTTAATCACTGTAAATGGCAGACCTTTGCACACTGGAAACCCTCCCTTTTTTTTGTTCATTA